ATGTAATGTAAAAGAAAGCATATAATTTCTGAACAGTTAAATGTATAATGTTGATTTAATCAAGAGTATTAAGTTCTCTGCGTATTAATTAATACATTTTCTTTTCAAGGGCCCATGAAATACAAACACTATCTTATGGGCAACCACAAAGGAATCCTCAATGGGCTCCTCAATATAGATAAGTAGACAGAGCATAGACTATGAACACAGAGCTATAAGACAAGAATTCAATAATCAGAATATAAATAAATAACAACATAAACACCCAAACATTTGGAAACAGATCCCCACCACCATCTCATCAGCTTGCAGGTGCATACACACCTGCTTCTGTTTTAGAGTACTCAGAAAATAATATGAAATTAATAATTATAAAAATTTAGGGGATATAATCACACTTATGTTCAGGAGTGACTCCAAAGCTACAAAAGATTTCACTGTTACAAATGAAAGAGTGAAAATCAAGGACAGCCCAGGTGGCTCAGCGGTTTAGCGCCGCCTTCAGCCCAGGGCTTGATCCTGGAGACCCAGGATCCCATGTCAGGCTCCCTGCATGGAGCCTGCTTCTCCCTCTGCCTGTGTCTCTGTCGCGCCCTCCCTCTCTTTCTCCATCTCTCTCTCCGTGTCTCTCTCTGTGTGTGTGTGTGTGTGTGTGTCTCTCATTAATAAATAAAATTAAAAAAAAAGAAAGTGAAAATCAGCAAACTAAGACTGTAACTTAAAAAATAAAAAGAACAAGGAAGTGACTATGAAGAAATCAGGAGACAGTGTTTAACAGATAAAAACAGAAGTTAAAGAAAAATCAGAGGCTAGGTAAATTCAAGAACTAGTTTATTGAAAAACATGAAAATAGAAAATACTTAGTCAAATCAAGAGGAAAAGAAAGTATTTCCATTAAATACACAAAATGTAGAGTGAGAAAGGAGGCATAATCACAAATACAGGTGATTTGCAGTCCTTTAGTAACAATATACTCAAACATTTCATTAAATTTAAAAAGATAACTTCCAAGAAAATAAAAATTGCTGATTGATTAGAAATGGCAGCCTACTGAATTAGCTCAATTGATAGAGAAAATATGGGAAATGATTTCTAAGTAATCATTGGCAAGAATGTGATTGGATCCAATGTTTTATGGGCAAATACCCCCCTCCCAATTTAAGGAACAAATAAATTCTATAGCACAACATAGATACAAATGGGTGACTTTCTAATTCATTCTTTCCTCACTGTATTATAAATATTATTGCTATAACTTTATGAGGAGAATGGTCCCAAAAGTGTACAAACACCCACCCACATTCTAGACACTAATTTCATTAACACAGAGGGGGCATTCTAAATACAATTCAAAGAAATCAAATATACTATATCTCACCCAGTGAAGACTAAACATTGGCTATGCTACCTGATTCTCCTGAATCAATCCCTGGATGTGCCACACACAAAGAAAGGAGGTAGAAGGCTCCTCCATCAAAGGAAAATGGAGAAACCAGTAGGTCTTTGGGCTCTACTGTATTGGAATAAAATAGCTTAAACTTGGAAGAAAATTGAACACCATGGGGCACATAGGGGAACATTTTTTGTTAGGCCCCTTCCCTCTCTTAAGTGGCTTTAGGAAGCTTATTGTCTCCACACTCCCATCTATGCAGAAAACTGAAGCAGTGATGCCAGCTTAGGGCCACCTGGGGGTCATGATGTAATGTCAGGGATCTCTGGATACCTGGTGCCATGGGGGGCAAGCCAAAGACTTGCCCAAACTCCTCCCTGGCCTCCCCTCTACATCGAGACTGTATAGCATCTCTTGGTATAAAAGAAGTGCCCAGTGTGGAGGTGCAGGGGAGTTTCTTGAAGAGCAGGGTGACTTGGTTGGGAGAGGGGGATTGTAAACAGGGAATGGTGAGTCCAGATAATAATTCCAGAGGTTGGCTTCTCTTGGTGTACTCTTCCCTGCCTAAAACTCACAAGGGATATACAGTACAGCTTGGGCTTTTGCACCTGAGAAACTTCCCATCAGCTAGAAATCACCAGCAAATACTCCCAGGATAATATTAGCTCACAGGGGAAAATAACATGATACAGGGAAGAAAATCATCGGAGCAGGATAGAATGTGAATTTAACACAGGCATAAAGATATCCTAAAGAATTAAGGGACAATGTTAGCATGATGCAGGCATAAGCAAGCTGTCCCAGAGAACCAATCAGAGATGTGGAAACACTGAATATAAAAATATGAGTCAATATATGGAATTTAAGTGAAGCACTGATAGCAGCAAGGATACTCTTCTGTAGGCAATTTTAAGTGTTTTATTAGAGGACATATAAAAATACCTGAATAAATAGAAAAGTATTCCATGTTGATGGACGGCAGGACCTAACATTTTTTACTAAGTTAATTCTCTCCAAATTATTGTAAAAATGCAATGTAGGATATTATGTAGGATATTTTGAACAAATTAACATTTGAATATAAAAATTTCCCTACAGACTAAAAGACCAGAATAAAGAGCAAAGGCACTATTAAAAAAGAAGAGTAAAGATGGTGATATCCCCACCAGATTTGAAGACATACTACAGAGTCACAGGAATAAAAAGATACATGATACTTATGTAGAACTATATAAAGCAAAGGGCTCAAATTAAACACAGAACCCTGAAACAGGGTGTGGGCGTGTGTAGAACCCCATGAGTGTTACAACGGTTTGTCAGAAAAACGTTAGCACTACACAGAGACAGACAAATTTGGTTCCTTCCTCTCCTCGTACCACACGCACATTCACAGTTGAATTAAAAATCTAAATGTGGAAGAAGAAAGCTAACAAATGAAAATGTAGGAGAGTATCTTGGCACCTGTGTAGGGAAAATTTCTTAAACAGACCCAGTCATCATAAACCATATGAGACAATATTGGTCGGTTTTACAACATTAACAACAATTTCTGGCATGTGGTTGATGTTGTTCTTTGATGTGAGTCAGAAGTAAACATTGGTGATGATAAACCACTGAGATCTGGGGGTTATAGTTACACAACTGATCAAGACAACTAGCAAACCAAAATAGAGAAGGTTGGTGTGGCTTATGTCTGGTATTAATTACAGAGGGTCTGGCAAGAGGTTGGGGGTTTCTGTTTGTACAACAGAGCTATAAATGTCTAAGAGTGGAATGGCAGATCAATATTTAGAATTTTAATGAAAATTGAGCAGGTTACTCTGCTAGAAATAGTAGGAGATGAAAAACACGTTCTCTGTTGGGTAGTTTTAGTGTCACTACACCAAAATCTTGGCATAAAGTCTGCACACCAGTTAATAATAATAATAAAAAAATCTAGAAAGGCAAGCCTGGTTATTCTCACTGTAAAGTCTTCAAGACCAGAGTTTTGTCTGTTTTGCTCATTCCAGTGCACAGAGCTGTGCTGCCCAATATGGAGCCAATTGCAACGTATGGCCATGGGGCACTCGGAATGATAGTTGGTGTGAACTGAGATGTATTTTTTTGCTGCACGCAAAATACACCCTGGTTTAGGAGACTTGGTGCAACGGAAAAAAGAAGGAATGTTAAACATTTCAGCAATAACTTTTTATATTAAAGATTTATTATTTATTTATTTATTTATGTATTTATTTGAGAGAGAGAGAGAGAGAGAGAGAGAGAGAGAGAGAGAGGCAGAGACACAGGCAGAGGGAGAAGCAGGCTCCATGCAGGGAGCCCGACGTGGGACTCGATCCCTGGTCTCCAGGATCACACCCTGGGCTGAAGGCGGCACTAAACCGCTGAGCCACCGGGGCTGCCCAACTTTTTATATCCATCACATATTGCAATCATAGTATTTTGGATACATTGGGATAAGTAAAAATATATTATTAAAATTAATTTCATCTGCTTTTTTTACTTGTATTAATGTGGCAACTGGAAAATTTTAATTTCTGTATGTGCCTTGCATTATATTCTCACAATGCTTGTCTAGGAATGCTTGCTAGGATAATAATTGGAATATTACAGGTGCTAAAAGATGTTGAATGAAAGAATGAATAAGTGAACCAGTTCAAATGGCTCTTTTAATGATCATTAATTAGTTTTTTCCATATATTATACAGTCTTATATTATTACATGTAACTGAAAATGTTCTATTGGCTGGGAAAAGAGTGGCTTCAGTGGGAATGGTTAATTTAGCAGTTTTCAAAAGAAGAGGAACAATGAACAGAACATTGTAACCAGATTTCATTCAAGGAGAAGTTACTGTGTGGCAGACAATTTACGTGCACACTCTCATTAAACTCACTCTACAGTGCTATGACAGATTACTATTCCAATTTACAGATGATGATACCGAGGGTCAGAGTGGGGAAGGACATGATACAAGTAAGTGGTGACGCCAGGAATCAGTTCTGCTCACTCTGACGGAGCCAGACGTTTGCACACAGCCCAGTCTTACCATGCCCCTCCATCCTCACACTCTATATTTCAGGTACAAGTGACTAGAAGGGTGCACTTTCCTGCCTCTAAGCCTTGCTCATGTTGCTCCTCTGCCTAAGAACACCATTTCACTCTTCCAAAAAGCCACCTGCTATGTCAAGATTGTCACCATTGGAACTTACTCATTTGTTTCTTGTCTATGTCCTTTAAATGTGAACTCCATAACTGTAGGCAGGCTTTCTGTCTTGTTCACTGGGGAGACCTTAGCAATTAGTGCTGAAATGCTTGGTACACAGGAAGTACTCAAAGTTCACTGTTGCTCAGCTCAATGAAGATTCTTCCACTGTTCCAGTAAGAACTAATTGCTTCTTGGGTCTGCTATAACATAATGCTTGTGTTCCAAGTGCAGTTCTTATTTTACCATGTAGATATTATAATCTATTCTCTTTTTATGTCTCCCCACCCAAGATTTGTAACTCCCCTGTAGATTCGATTAGGTCTCAACCAACTTCGTACCTCTCCTGAAGCAGTTTTGTCTTTTTTTCCTGTAGGACTTTTAGCTGGCAGACTCTGTTAGCTACATACCCAGCTTCCGGTTTCTGCTTCTCTTTGTTTCACAAAATCTCCATTTTGCTTGGAACAGCAGTGCGCCCAGCCTTCCTTACAGCTGCAAATGGCCGGGACATGGTTCTGGCCAAGGAAATGTACATCCAGTACAGATGTCTCCAGAGGGTTCTTTTCCTGATAAGAGAGGGAAGATTTGTTTGGCCCTGCCTTTCTCTCTTTCCTTCTTGTCTTACACATAGATATGATGTCTAAAGTTATGGCATGGTCTTGCCATCTCAGGACACCAAACCAGAGGACATAAGCCAACAGGCTATGGTGGCAGAATAGAGAAAAGGAAAATCCTAATGGCTTTGCTGAGTAGCTGGGCCAGGGCCAGCAACTTCCTATCTCTAGATTTTTTGCAATGTGAGAGAAACAAACCCATAGCTGTTTATCATTATAAGTTTTTTTTCCCCACTTTTCACCAAAATTATCTTTAACTTACCCAGCTGATATCTTCAACTGGTACAGCATGTATATGTCATACTCCCAAGATTATATGCAGATTTTTGGCAAACCCCAAATGTTACTGCAGGAAAGCAATTCACTGCAAAATTTGGAATATGAAGAGACTGAGGCTCAGAGAGGCCAAGTGTCTACTGATGTCAAGCAGCAGAGTCCAGAATCAAACCCAGGTCCATCAAGTCTACAAAACCCATGCTTATGCCTGCCCATGCTGCCTCATGAAGATACATGAACCTCTGAAGACCTCTCTCCTGGGCTTAGTTGCCACGGTCACCTTTCCTACAAGGGGGGTATAACTTTGTTGGCCAAATTCTGCCTGCCTTTGCTGGACATGTCTTTAAAATCACCTTTAGAACATCCACACCAGCAGCCTTTGCTCCTGGTATCCTCTCAACCTGAGATGGGAGTATGTTGCATGTGTTTGAAGAATGCCAAAGAGCTTGAGCATAAGTCACCAGAACAGACTGAGGGAAGGACAGGAGGAGGAAAAGATAGAGAGAAGGTCTTGGCCCAAGCCATCGCCATTTGAGGAGTGGCATTTACTGAGGTGACAGATGGTGGAGAGAAGCACAACTGCTGGAAAGGGGATGAATATAGGGCAATCGTTTTTGCTGGATTAGTTCTCAGATGACTATTAGATACCCATGTGAATCCATGGGGCTCAGAGAGTTCAAATCCCTTAAATTTACAGTCCCAAACATCCCCCCAAACTGTGTTGATGAGCCAGAAGCCAGATGGCAAGACTCCGGAGTGAACTGTATTGGTTAGAAGATATGCTTGAAGATGGAGACAAATTCAGTCGGGGATTACAAACACACATCCTGAGGTTTTAGCTTTTCAACTCATTTTGCTGCTGAGCTCATCGATATGTGATCAAAAAGATGGGTGTACTTATTAGTGTTTAGTCAATTGCCTCATTCTGAGATATGTACTGATTGTATTTTACTGCAGACAATGGAGAGAGCGCCTCCAAGATTATTCTCTGAAACAAACAAAAAATACACAAACACAGAGAAACACAGCTGTTGGGCAACATGATAATGGAATCAGTGTGAAGGGCTCTGGGGAGTGGAGTGCCCCCAAATGGTCAAGCTGCTGGGGTCTGCATTCTGGTTTTCATTCCTAATAGCTTCATTAACTTCTTTGTGCATGGAAAACATAGGCTGTGGGGATAATTCAAAGAGATAATCTCCATTAAGCTCTTAGCACAGAGTCTGGGACAAAGTATCAACCTAACAAATATTAGCCATTACTTATTTACATTCACAGAAGCATGCAGTGCAGACCCTCATAATCCGCTGAACACGAATCTTCACACCCATGCACTGATAAACACACACCGGTAAATCTCCATCTACAGTACATGAATGAATATATACAGAAAATGCCCTAAATTTTCTCATTCCCTCAGTGGCTGTCTCACCTACCTTTCGCTTGATAGCATTCCTTTTTAATGCTTTTCAAGAATTGAAAGACTTTCCTTTTATTTCCCTCAAGAGCTGGTTTTTACTACCATGTCTGCCATGGTTCACAGCTGGCTGTCATTCTGAATGAATGACAAACACCCTCAGCAAATCACTTTCTTTAAAAATAGACCACCCCAGATGATCTTTACCCTCAATTGTCATTTCCATACACCTTGAAAAGAAAAATTCCATTCTTTTTAGAGATTTACGGCTAACGTATCCCAAGCAATAGGACTCTATGAAGATGATTTTTTTTTCCAAAATGCCCTAGTTTTGCCTCATCTGTTTATTGGGCTTATATAAAATGTAAATGTAAGGCTGACACTTCTCACCATATTGTGCCAGCTGAATGTTCATTCTGTGTGGCTTTATGGAGCTATTTACCTGGAATATTTTACCTTGATAATTTAATGTGTGAATGCCTTCTCTATTTCTTCTTGCAGATGCACCTGAATGAACTGAGGGTATACAAGATGCTTTCAAGTCAGTCACTGTACAGAAGCAGATTAATTGCTCTCAGCACTATAAGCCAACTGAACTTTTGATGGATATGATTCCCCAAGAGTTTGTTTAACTTTCTGGGTCAAGGACTACTTAGTTCACATCGTCCACATTGCTTCAATGCATAGGTTTATGGCAAAAACAAAAGCTACAAACAAACAAACACCAAATCAAAATACTACAACATTTAAAACACATTTTATATTGGGAAAATCATCACTGGCCCAATGTTAATAGAGTCTGAGCATGAATTCTATTTATCTCCTTACAATCTTAATATGCATAAACCAACTAAATTCCGATTTGGATCACTGTGCGTCCCTGATCTGGATCAGAAAGAGGCATTCCATCAAGATCTAAATACCAAATCATCAACAGCTCCTCCAAAGTCTGTCTTGGCACAGTTACTCTGGATTTTCAAACTGGGGAGCGCTGAATTTGGAAGACTACAGGAAATATGCCAAATCTATATTTATATCCTCTAGATGCCATTCAGTAAAATCAGGGGCAATAAATGTTGCAAATTTCACATTGGTGACTTTGACATCATTCCCAGGACAGAGGTATCTGTTGTCATCATCACATCAATATGGTTATTAATATTTCCAACTCTAGTACGTTAAGTAAAGGGAATACAATATTTTTGCACTGATTCACTGTAAGTGCCACAATTTAAGACTAATACAAACAAACAGATTATTTAGTACCAACAATTGCAGGTATTAGGAAATCCAGATATGGGGATCCCTGGGTGGCTCAGCAGTTTAGCGCTTGCCTTTGACCCAGGGCGTGGTCCTGGAGTCCAAGGATTGAGTCCCACATCGGGCTTCCTTCATGGAGCCTGCTTCTGTCTCTGCCTGTGTCTCTCTCTCTGTCTGTCTGTCTCTCTGTCTCTCGTGAATAAATAAGTAAAATCTTTAAAAAAAAAAAAAAAGGAAATCCAGATTCAACCTCGCTTCCTGGCTTACACAATAGGGATATTGCTTCATATAACAAGAGGTTGTGGGGTAAGCCCGGGTGGCTCAGCGGTTTAGCGCCGCCTTCAGCCCAGGGCATGATCCTGGAGTCCCAGGATCGAGTCTCACGTCAGGCTCCCTGCATGGAGCCTGCTTCTCCCTCTGCCTGTGTCTTTGCCCCCCCCCCCCACTCTGTGTCTCTCATGAATAAATAAATGAAAATCTTTAATAAAACAAACAAACAAACAAACAAACAAAAAACCAAGAGGTTGTAATGCAGGGAGACACTAAGGATGGCTAGTTCAGCGGCAGAATGACATCACGAAGAACTCAGTGCTTTTCATCATTTTACGTTGCCTTGTTCATCCCAGTCTTAAGGTTGGCCTCCCGCATCATCAAAAAATGGCTGCCTGTTTGCAAATATTGAGCAGCAGACTAGTGTTGGCATCTTGCCTTATGCCTGTTCTCACTGGCCTGGAAAACCTTTCCCTGCAGTTCATCATTAGAACTTCCCTCCTCTCATTGGCCAGAACAACTCCCTTCTACACCAAATACTGGCAAGAATGAAACTGCCATGATTGTCTTAGATCAATCAGGATGTACCTCCTTTGTACTTGCTGAGCAGAGTGTTTCCTGAAGAACGGGGCACACAAAGGAGGGTGAATACTAGAGCAATATTAGCATTTCATTGGAACAGTGAAAGAGGAGTAAATGACTATGGAGTAGGACAGGGTCTCCTAAACATACATAGACTCCTGGTAGAGAATGAGGGGAAGTAAGGGTGATATGGAAGAGGAAGGCAAGACTTGAGGGGTGCAAGTACATAACCTCCCCCCCCCTGGGGTGTGGCAGGGCCTGTAAATATGATGAGACACTGCCTTGGTTGGGACACATTGTATGAGAGAGGTGATGGGGCAATCACTCCCAGGATTACTGTGTTATATAAAAGTCCATCCTGGCAGCCTGGAGGGAGGCCATCCTGCTGGCCTTGGGAAACATCCCTGTCCTGTGGTGAGAAAGAAAATACAAAGCTGTGGTCATCAAGACAGTGTGGTACTAGCACAAAAACAGACACATAGATCAATGGGACAGAATAGAGAAGTCGACCAGAAGTCGACCCTGAACTTTATGGTCAACTAATATTCGATAAAGGAGGAAAGACGATCCACTGGAAGAAAGACAGTCTCTTCAATAAATGGTGCTGAGAAAATTGGACATCCACATGCAGAAGAATGAAACTAGACCACTCTCTTGCACCAGACACAAAGATAAACTCAAAATGGATGAAAGATCTAAATGTGAGACAAGAGTCCATCAAAATCCTAGAGGAGAACACAGGCAACACCCTTTTTGAACTCAGCCACAGTAACTTCTTGCAAGATACATCCACGAAGGCAAAAGAAACAAGAGCAAAAATGAACTATTGGGACTTCATCAAGATAAGAAGCTTTTGCACAGCAAAGGATACAGTCAACAAAACTAAAAGACAACCTACAGAATGGGAGAAGATATTTGCAAATGACGTATCAGATAAAGGGCTAGTTTCCAAGATCTATAAAGAACTTATTAAACTCAACACCAAAGAAACAAACAATCCAATCACGAAATGGGCAAAAGACATGAAGAGAAATCTCACAGAGGAAGACATAGACATGGCCAACACGCACATGAGAAAATGCTCCGCATCACTTGCCATCAGGGAAATACAAATCAAAACCACAATGAGATACCACCTCACACCAGTGAG